ATGTGAAAAATCATGTTTATATTATTTTTTTTTTTTTTTTTTTTTTTTTACACAAAAAGACAGTAAAAGCTCAGTTACAAGTTTAAAATAATTTCACAAATATTCCATGTTCATTAACATGCCTTCCCGATCTGTCATATTTATCTCATTTTCCTTCTGCCTGTCATGTCTCTCTCTCTTATGCTCTTTTATTTATTTCTGCATGCAAGAATGTATTTCAGTGTTTGCGATCATCCATATACACACACAATAACAGTCCCTCTCGCTCAGTTGTTGGCATTTGCTCTTGCTCGATCCTGAGGACCTGCTCTCAGTGTGTCATTCACGTTCACAACATCTGTGTAATGATGTGCGAATCATGAACGATTCGTTCAATATACTAAGAATCATTTTACTGACTCATGAATCATGATTCACAAGCCCAACTGACTCACTGACTCATCCCTGTTGCTGTTAGCAAACTAATTTCATTAGTAGAAATGTATCTAGCTTATAATTAAAATTGTGGAGAAAAACACAACATCTAGTTTCTTAACAAAAACATTTTTGGTCTAAACTGGAAGAAAAAACCCTGAGTAGAAGCTCATATCAAGACAATAGCTCCTCAGTTCACAATAGCGTCGCTTTGCTAACATGCTAACAGCACATTTAAGCTACTCACCCCCTCCCTCCTGTGCTGAATAGTAGCATGAACGAATCACTCACTGGCTGTGTCCCAATTCAGGTTCTGCAGCCTTAAAGGTGGCATTTTAAGGCCGATTACGTCACAGCGACGCGCCGAAGGCTGTCCCAATTCAAAGGCTGCTCGAAATGTGGCCCTCAAATGCGTCCTTCATTTCCCTGAATTTTAAGGATGGGTCCGTGTATCCTTCATGGTCCAACATATCCCACAATTCATAGCGCGGCAGTGGTGTGGATAATTTTGCCGGGAAAAAAAACGGTTGAAGCGAAGGGCCCGAAGAGTAAACTTTCAAAAGTAAGTACTGAATATGACGTCACTTATTTATGTGCAAATGTTTAATAATGAAGAACATTAAAACATTACTGTTGGCCACATGTCGGCAAAGTTATGTGACATTAGTGACGTTTGTACGTTCAGCTTTTACTTGGTTTTAAAG